GAGTAGTAATCAATAAAACTTTCCAATAAAACAATAAGTAAGACTAAGCAAAACAAGTTACAGCATAGCTAAACAAAGGGTTACATACTAAATCTCACTAAAACCAAATACAGACAAGAACCAGAACAAAAGCGAAACAAAGGCCTGGCTACAGAAATTGATAAAAAGTCACTTGCACATCAAAATGCTGAGCAGCTAGAAAAGTTTTTGCCTGGTGCTGGAACATGCCAGCATCAATACCAGGCGCACTTCTCCAGGGAATGAATTCCATCCACGGCATCCCGTGCCCAAACTCCCTCCCGGGAAATCACCTCCACCCCACACACGGAGAGGAAGGGGAACCTCCCACGGCTCGCAGTGGGCACTTGGAGGGCAGAGAAACCACTCTCGAGCCCCAGGGCAGCGTCATGGCTGCGCCTCGTGTTCGGCAGGGTGGCGCTCGCAAGAGCATGCCAGGGCTGCGCAACCTCGTAGACGGACGGAGACGTTGTCCTGGGTCCCTCCCACTAGCAGGTCCAGCCACGGCGAGACACACAGCAGCACCCGCAGCCGCGAGGACCCACCTTGTGGGATCCAGCAGGAGAAGAATCTTCTAACGGTGGGACGTCTCCTTCGAAGAAGCCGCTCCGTGTGGCCGTCCCAAGCACCTCCTTTGTTCCACAAGGACACAGCGTCTAATGATGCAGGCGGTGATTTGGCAGTCCGAGGAAGGTGGCGCACGCAGAGCTGCTCTTGGCTGGCAGGCATCTGTTAACTGCGGGAACCCGTGTCATTTGCTTCAAAAACAGCTCTTTGGCTGCCACACAGAGCACTTTAAAAAAAGAAGAACAACTTACGCTAATCCAATATAAACCATCTAGTTCCAGTCCGTGAGTCTCCCTTTCTCCCTTGTTGGCTTGTAAATCAGATGCTCAGCTCCTCCAGATCATTAAATTCTGTAACACGCCGTGTCTTTGGAGCCCGTGTTTGCTTTAGCACCATGTTCTCTTCTCCTTCTTCTTCAGTATATGCCAGCAGCATCCCATCTTGGCTTCTGCAGGGTTCAGCCTGACAAACCTTCTATGTCCTTCCCTCCCATTCTCTCCATTCCAGTTCTCCCATTTGAACCAGCTTTGTGGGTAAAAACAGGGGAACACAGGGAGTTGGCAAAGTGCCCCGTGATCTCCTGATTAGCAAACTGGCCGAAAGAGGGCTGGAGAGAGCGAGGACCAGGGGGATCCACAGCTGACTGCAGAGTCGGATTCAAAGAGGGTTCATCAATGGCATCTTCTCAACCTGGGGAGAGGGAACAAGTCCCCAGGAGAGCCACCAGGTCCTCTCCTGCGTCCGGTGCTCTTCAACTTTTTATTAATAATGTTGACGCGGAAGTTCAGGGAACGTTTCTCAGGTCTGCAGATGGCGTGAACCTGGCAGGTCCTCCCCGGAGATCCGAGAGCCTGGGCAGGTGACACGGAGAGCGGCAAGGGGGCAGGCCAGCTTGTAACGTACAGGGCAGCCCACCTGCTCATGCAGCCCAATACCTTGCGCCCCCTGCTTGCCACCTGCAGGAATCCTCTGCAGCCGCACCAGCAGTGAAGGACACACGCCGGCCCGGCCAGTGCCTTCCGGCGTGTGTCGTCCGGGCCAGCTCCCCTCCTGTTCGCACCAGCACCTCAGAGCTTTCCCGGCGATGCTGCCAGGGATGACCTGGGGGGGAGCAACGATGCCAGCCAGCCTGGACCGAAACGGAGGCAGCTGTCCGGGACGCCAGGAACGGCAGGAGAGCCACTGCTCTGCCACCCCCAGCAGGTGCCGCCTGAGGCACCCACCCTGCTTTGCCTAATGGCCGTGCGCCGGCCAAATTGCCTCGCCAGCCACAGAGCACTAGGCACATGGAGCATTTTGAAAGCCACAAAGCACTTCCAAACTCTCGCCCTGGCGGTGAGCATCTTTCAGTGCCAAGAAGGTTTGGAGCAGCGCTTGGCAAATGAACCGTCCTCACAAAGGCAGGCAGGCAAAGAGAGACTTTTGTTTTGGTTTCAAATGATGCCCGAGATGACTCTGGAAGGACAATAAAGGACCGTCTCCAAAAGCGCACTTGTGGCATCTCTCTCCCTTTATACAAATCTGCTGGAGTTAAGCTGCATAAAGACTCTTGGACAGAGTTCCTGGCTGATCCAACCTACGGAAGATTCCCTATCTGTTAAATGGAAATGATTTATTCATTATGCGCCGAAAGCCAATTTTTGCCGCCTCAGTTGCAAAAACTTCAAGCTGGATTTGCAAAGGGCACTACGACATCTCGAAAGAATGCGTGGCACCTCTGGCAGCGTTCTTGCTCGCTCTCTTTGGGCCCGCAATGGCACGAAATCGACGTATTTATGTTTCACACACAGTATGTGTCCGAAATGGTTATGCATGAAACAATTCAGAGGTGCTTTGCTTCATGATGGTGCTCCTGGTAGGCAAAGCAGAGAGACGGGAGGAAGCACAACCAGGCCAATATTATCGCTGGGTTTCCTGTAGTCGCTCTCGGCCTGGTGCTTACAACCCCCATGGGTCCTGCTGGCTGAGGATGGGGAGAGTTGTGGGTGAACCCCTGAGGGAGGTGACCATCGCAGGGGGTGCCTCTGAACGAAGAGGCTGGGTGATAGCAAGGCTGGAGCCAAGGATGACCTTGGAAGGCTGCTGCTTGGAAGTTGCCTCCCTGGACATGCGTCCGATCCCCTTCATCGCTGCAACCAGCTTCTCATTCTTGTCTGGGCAGCAGCAGTGGCGAAAGGAAGGCGTGGGAGAGAGAAACACAGAACCAGAGCGAGTCAGAAGGGGTCTCCCGGGCCATCTAGTCTGACCCCGGCTCCAGCCATGAGATGCCATGGCCCACGTGCTCGCTGTCTCCCTACCTGTGCCAGCGGGTGCCATGCTGGGAGAAGATGGGGAGCTAAAGCAACTGGTGGTGATGGCAGTGAGAGAGGAGCGGTTGTGAGCTCAGACCGACCCTTCCTGCCCCTTGGTCCCAAAACACCAGGCAGTCTCCTGGTAAAACGGCTCTGTGTCAGCACCCGGCAAGCTACAGCACAAGGCAACTTCAGGCGCCCTCTGGTGAGATTGGGAGCTTCGCATTTCTCGTGCCAAGAAAGACGAGCCCAAGCTGGGCCAAAGTCCCCTCTCCTCGTTGCCCATTTGCATCTGGGGTTGATTTTCTGACGACTGCTTTCTGAGGCTGTTTGCTCTCATGCATCGGCTAACTGACAGAACTGAAATTGGTACAATTGCTCTGAGTTTTAGATGTTCTGCACTCTAATGAGATCTCATTAAGAGTCTTGTTGCTACCAGTTGCACTTCTATTAAGTAGCTGAGCATTTCCACACTTAAGGCACTTTAATAATTTCATGGCTTCTCTATAGGAGGTATTGATTCGCTGCACCCTCATCGCGGCCGGCTTCATAAACCACTGGAGAGGAGCAGAGTGGCTGCCTCCCTCGCAGGCCTCCGAAACCGTGGGTGACGGTGGAACTTGCCTGCTAAAGGGACAAGGGCTGGCAACCCAAACTTCGCCCTGACTTAGTGGTTTTGGGTGCCCTGCTAGAAGGGCAGGACAATCCAGGCAGCGGGCCAAGCTTAGCTCCACTGAAGTTCTGGCTGAAGTCTAGAGTGGACGGCCCACCCCACTGACTATGGGGCAAACAGACTCCGCACGAAGCCACTGTGAACTTACCTGGAGGAGCGCAGATTCAGGTAAAGCTGCAGATGTGCTGCATTGTCTTCTGCAGTCAGCAATAGAATGGAATACACGCAGGAATGCTGAAATTCAGTCTACAGAGGTGCAGCGGGTGAGCATGTCCTGGTTAGGTTTGCAGCCGCCCTGAAAAATCTGGCCTGCAGCCGTGGCTTTAGTTAGATCTGCTCCTACCGTTAAGGAGCGCTTAAAACCCACTTCTCCCAACTGGAGAAACACACCTGTTGCAGGCCCTTTTGAACAGCGATGTGCAGCATCCATCCACTGTATCACATCCACCCATGGCCAGCTCCCCCCCCCCGATATTCTCTGTGCCCCCATTTTTTAAACAAGCCCTTTGAAACCCACAAGCCAGACGAGCTGCGCTCCTCCTTGTGCATGGGCAGCTTGCACTGTTGCTGTTTTTATTGCAGGAAGCAGCTATTTTTAAAAAAAATTCTCCCATCCATCGGACCTCTGGGTTTGTCGGGTGCACACCCCCATTTAAGTTGTCAGCCCAGCCTGTTTGCACTGAAATGAGCTCACCGGCGTTCACAGGCACGTTTCGGATCAGCATGCCTCCTCGGAGCAGCGCGCAAGACGGATTTTTACAACTGTGCCTTCATCAGGGATTACCAAATCCAGAGCTGAAAAGAACATTTCACCCCGAGGCAATGCAGGAAAGGGAAAGAAGCGAAATTCATGTGCTGTTTGTGCTTTGCATTCCAGACACAACTGTGTGTGGGGCAAACGGAGACGTGACATTCGTCACACAGCCTCCCCCGGGGTGGCCGACTTTTTCACAAAAACGCCAACGCACGGGTAGGGAAGCAAGAACCAGGCTGAGGCGGTGATGGGGAGTCAGGTGCTGCTCCCTCACTCTGGGCACCCACAATTCGTAATGGGCAGATTCGGCACCCCCCGGAAACCCACTTCCTTCCCACCTCAAAAGCCCCTCCGGGGGGGAGGGACGGACTGGAAAAGCAAAGCGTTAAACAGCAGGGTCTGCAACTTGTGGCCCTCCAGACATTTTGGCCTACAGGTCCCATAATCCCTCACTATTAGCTAATTTCACAGTAGATTTTGATGGCTATCTGGTTTTAAAACTGACCCCATGTTGGTTCCAGTCGGTTTCAGTGTGAATTGCTTTATTTAATGTTTTATATTATATTTCAATTTGTTGATTTATTTGTATATGTGGATATTGTTAATATGTTTTGAATAGGTTGATTTCATGTTATTGAGTTTAGATCGGTGTGTTGTTTTCAGGCGCTTTACGTTTTTGCTGTAGACATAAGCTGCATTCTCCAAAAAAGCCAACCATTTATTAGACCTCCAAAAGGCACCAAGTACTAATTCACCTTAAAGTTGCATTTTTTAAAAAAATCCCAACAGCACGAGTTTCTAGCCCTTTTGAAAAATCTGTCAGGATATGAGTTTTCGGACTTAGAAAGCAGAGATCAGGAGAGACGGCAGGCAGCCCCTGGCTGGAGAGCTGCAGAGCTTGCGGGTGGCCCACACCCCGTGCCCCTTCCTTCCCAGCCCTCTGCTCCCCCTTGAAGTACTGCCTGATGTCCAGCTGACCTGCCCCATTCCTTAGGGGTGGAAGAGAGCCATGAGCTCCTTCCCATCGGCATAGCTCTCAGCCTCCAGCAGATGTTTTCGACCACAAGCCCCCAAAGACCCAGCCATCATGACCAGTGGTCGGGGGTTAGGAGCACTGCAGCCTAGAACATCTGTAGGGTACCCCCCCCCCCACCCCGGCACTGTCTATGGTAAACAGAGAGTACTTTAGTGCTGAATTCTAAATATGTGGACTATCATTTAGGCGGTACACAGAACTGCAATAAACTACAACTACCCTTTGCTTCCATCTACTGGGGCGCCCCTTAGAATATCAGGAACGGGGGAACGATCCGACCCGCAGACATCCCCCGGCGAGCACCACGGCCAGAGGCGAGTCCTCAGGGTGTGGCTGGACTGGCTTTAAAGCAGGGAGACAACATCAGGGTGCCTTCAAGCTTTCCTCCTAAAATCCAGCAGCCAATCCCAGCCAGACTGAACTCTGCCGGTAGTTCTGTGGCGGGAACGGGTGAAAGAGGGGGATGCCGGAGGCAAAGCAAGACGGCAACTCTGTTGTATTGAGTAGCATAGCCCTGTTGTGTTGCGATGGAGGCGCTGAAAGCGAGGCCCCCAGAGCAGCCCGCTGAGATCCTGGATCCCCAGATGTGGGGCACTGCAACGCCCAGCCGCACGGAGCGGGGCCTCGGGCGACGGGGCACTGCAGTGCAACAGCCGGTGGCCCAAGGGGTCCAGTCTGTGCCAGGGCTCAGTGGTGGAGGAGGAGGCCTCTGACCACACACAGAGGGCACAGCCGGCAAGGGTGGCTCCCCGGACACAGCCGTGGGGCCCCTCGAGGAGTGGCGGCCAGCGCGCCCTCGGCCACCCTGAGCAGGCCTCCGTGGCCTTGCCCGTGGCCTTGCCCGGCCCAGCTGCAACGTCCGCAGCCGCGGCACCTCGCTCCTCGCGGCAACACGAGGCGTTCTAGGAGGGGCTGCGCTTGGCAGGGCACCCAAGGCCCGGGAGCAGGCCCAGGGGCCGCGCTTGGCGGAGAGGCACCCTGCCAGAACGGGCTGGCTCCCGTGGACCAGCTCCGGGGTGGGATCACAGCGGCCGCCGGCCGAGCGCCCGCACTCCGGAACGCAGCCCCACGCCGGCACGAAGCCCTGCGCCCCCCGCCGAAGGGAGGGGGGCGGTGGGGATACACAAGCCCGGCCTTCTCAGCTCCAAACCACACAGAGGGGGCACCTACTCACGAGGACAGCCGGCGGCAGAAAGTGCCTGGCACAGCCCCGGGCGCCCCGTGACCATCACAGCAGGAAGAGCGGGGGGGGCGGGCTCCCCACCCCCCCTTACAGCACACGGTGTGGCTCTTGCTTGCTTGCTTGCTTCTTTCTTTCTTTCTTTCTTTCTTTCTTTCTTTCTTTCTTTCTTTCGTATCGTTTAAGGAGAGCAGAGTTCACTGTGCCGATACAACTACCAATGGTGAACCGCCACACACGCCTGTGAAGAGCCACTTCGGGGATCCACGTCTCAGGGGTGGGGACAGTTTGAGTCAGGAGAAAACCGCGGTGCACTTGGCTTCTGAATGCACCACGGGAGTCCTGCATGTGCGGATGCAGGCAAGCCGATCCTGGGTCGATATCTGTGTACGGGGAGGAAGAAAGGGATTGCAGCAGGGCCAGCGGCGGCAGGTTGCAGGCTCCAGGGGAGAGGTGGGAGCTGGCGGCTCGCCCACACGTTCTACCGTCCCTGCCAGAAGGAGCGTCCCCAGGACTGGAGAGGCCACAGCCTGCCGACCGGCTTCCCAGGGTGTGGTCGCTGCATTTCTGGCCATTCCCGTCAGTCGATTTCTTCTCCAATGTCTGCAAGGAAAGGGGAGGGGAGGGGAGAAGGAGACCAGACAGAAACAAACAACTGGCTGGACGGAAGGACAGGCTTGGATTTTTCCCACAGCCCATAGAAACAGAGTGAGTCAGAAGGGTCCTCCTGGGCCATCTAGTCTGACCCCCTAGGATAAAGCTTGGTGGGAACACAGAGAAGGCTGTCTCGGGGGCTGCCCTAGGGCCCTGGAATTTCCTTCCCCGGGAGTCCACTCTGTGACGCTTCGGAGGCCTGCAACAACCTTTCTGCACTGGGCTGTCTCGGTTGTCTGTTTTGCTTTCACAGCTAGTTTAATTTTGGTGTTTTGTATAATTGTAACATTTCAGTTACTTTAATTACAGTTTTTATTTACTGCATATTTCTATTAATGTTTTGTTTGCCTGAGGTTTTAATCTGGCAAGCTGTCTTGAGCTCCTGTCTTGAGAGCAGACAATACGATCCCAATAAGGAACCAGCTGAATGAGCCCCTGGCCCAAGATTCCCCGGAGAACTTCGCCGCAGGCCCAACTTCTCGCCACTGCCCTGCAGCCCTCCTGGCCTGGCCCTTCCACCGGATCTTCTGCAACAAGGGCCAATCACCCTGTGGCCCTCCAGAGGCTCCTGGACTGCACTCCCCATCAGCCCCAGCCAGCACAGCCAACAGTGGGCGTTGACGGGAGCTGAAGCCCAGCAACAGCCTGTTCTAGGAGAACTCATACCCGCTGTTGACAGTGTGCAGTGCCCAGCGATTTACAGCGCAACGCCACAAGGGTGTATCGCCCCAAAACTCAAGAAACCACGGAAGCCGACCTGGTGGAGCGTGGAACTCGCACCCTTGGCCCCCCGAGTCCAGTCCTGTCTACCCTGGCTGTGGGCGAGTCTTGAGGGACTCGGACAGGACCTCATCTAGCAGTGCCGGGGATCACGGCGAAGCCCTTCCGGACGCAACACAGGACTGCGCTGGGGCCCCATCAGAGCACAGGTGGGATCTGTGATCGGCCGCCCACACAGTGGCTGAATGAGTGAGGTTCTCGCCTCAGACAGCTCAGCACGTCAACAACCATCAAGCGGACGCTTCCTTTACCTTCTCTGACATCCTTGCTTTTCAGGGGCTGCAGCGCTGTCGGAGGAAAAAGAAGGGTTAGTTTCTTGGGCCTCAGAGCACGGGCTGGAGAGAGCCACGTGCATCTTGCCGGGGCTGCGTTTCTGCCGGTGCATATTTCCGGACGCAGGGTTGACCTTGCTCCACTCCAGGCAAACTTTCTTCCCAAGCTACCGACCTCAGGAAGCACGACACTTCCCCCTGCTGGGCACCACCAGATCCATGAAACCAGGGCAAGGGGGCTCCGTCCAGCACAGCTCCTTTTCTGGGCTCTCCGAGGACATTTATGGTGAGTTGTGATACACCCAAAGCTCCCGTTTTCCTTTGGCAGCTTTAAGGAAATGCTACTTCTGGGCATAGAGGTCCATTTGGCTACCGTGGCCAACGGCCACTGAGAGTCCAGTCCATGAATTTGGCTAATCTCCCTGAAAGTCAACGCAGCCATTGGCCATGGCGGAGAGCAACCCTTGGGGTGCAATCCTTCATGTGTCCATGCAGAAACCCCGGGCACCCCGAAAGGGTTGAGATTATATTTGATCCCGTTATACTCTAAGGGTTTGCGCTTCTGGAGTAACACGCAAGAAGCACCTTGGGCTGAACCCGGCACATTCCTTGCGCCAGGCCTGCTGTGCTACATCCTTTCCGCAGATTTCTGCTCCGCTGGCCCGATCCTGTCTGGAAGCAAAATGCACAGACGTGGAACGCCATGCCCAAGGGAAAAGGCTCCAGCGTGTGCGCCGGATGGAGCGGATGAATGCACGCACATCATCGGCCCCGTCCCCGCACCCAGAACGGCCAAAGTTGCAACAAGCCAGGCAAAAGACCCTGAGCCCGCGAGGTCTCGGAGACGATTCAAGGCCAGCCAGCCAGCCAGCACGTGATGAGTCTCCCCTGCGCTCCGGGCAGATAAATGGCATCGCCGGGCTTACAGTTCATCCATCTGATTGTGGCAGAGGGGAGCTATCGGACTTTATTAAAATGGTGATCCAGGATGCCGAAGGTGCGCCCAGCCGCAGCAGCAGAGGCAGGAGACCTGGGCTGCGGGACAGGATCAGCCGGGCTTGTGGGAAGTGGGAGGGAGATGCCGGAGAAGGGTGGCTTTCCCCAGGCCCATCTCTGTTTCCAGAAAAGGGACAGAACGGAGGGCTTGCTGAGGTTCCCCGATCCAGATGCCCCGGGTGCCCTGGAAGGCCACGCACCCCCCACCCCACGGTGGGGCACTGAGGGTTCCCTGGGTTTGGTCATCCTACCCAGGGCCTTCTTGCCCGCAACACCTGTGCTCTTCCGCTGAGCCCCAGCCCTTCCCGGCAGGATTTGGGCCTGTGTGCTTGGAAAGCCATCCCAAGCCGAAGGATTCCCGTGGAACCCGGCACAGCAGCCCGTTCTGATCCAGCAGCTGGTGGGCACCAAAGCGAAAGTGAAGCAAACTTGACCCACCTGTCTTGGATCCTTCTCCTTCATCCTTTTCCTCGATGCCTGGGGAACAGGAGGGGTGGATTCACTAAGACGCATGTCCATCAACACCCATTCTGCGACCGCTTGATTTTCCCACACCTAAATCCCAATCCTGGTGCCCCACCCCCAAAACCTCACCGATGGGAGGCGTTTTACTGATTTGGGGGTGGGCTCGCTGCATTCAGGAAGGGCACTTCCGCTTTTGCAGCAAGGCGGTGGCAGAAATGTTATTTTGGTTCCTTTCAACCATCACCACCAGTGGCAACCGCAGCTGCCGAGCTGCTCCCGCCCACAGTTAACAGGCTCCTCCCCCAGGAATGAACCATGAAGGAGGGGTGTGCCAAGAAACCATCATGACCCCCGGACCAGATCTGGATGGGACACATGCGGCTTCCTTGGGGATGGGACAGTCACTGTTTCACCATCCTCTGATAGGAACACCCCCTCCCCCAATCTTGCAGCAACCTTGATCTACTAATCAAGCGAGGGGCCTTTAATCATCTAATCAGTCCCCCCAGAAGGGCTGCAGCTGAGTTCGTGACAGGCCTGTCCACCCACATGAGTCTTCAGGAGACTTGAGCTCCCTGGTGAACCAGCACCCTCCGGCTGCCGTATGTGGAGGGTGTCCTGGGCAGGAGAGCTTGCTAAGCGTTGTCCAAGCCACCATGTTCTCCTTACTTGGTTCTGTCTGCCAGGGATTGCTGCCAACCTCCTCCGTGATCCTCCAGGGAGCCCCAAATTGGAGATGGACATGCAGTAAACCCCCCCGCCCCGGGCCCCTAGATGCTCTTCAAAATGACATCACATTAGGACAACCTCCTCCAAGCTGGAGCTTCAATTCTTGGCATTCCTGACCATTCGCCATGCTGGCTGGGGATAAGGGGAGTTGAAGCCAAATGCATGAGTTTGGAGATCCAGGGTTAGAAAATGGTGCATAAAGACGTTATGACTATCCTATGGGGAGAGCGGATGGCAGGTGCTGGGCGGGGGCTGCCGCCAACGGCCAAAAGAAGAGCCCAAGGAAAAGAGGACAACACCACGCCAAGGTTCTTCTTCACCCTGTGCTTTGGAATGACAAATTGGTCCCCCTCTGGAAGAGGGGAGCTGGGAGCATGCAGCCGAGGAGCATTGTAATTACCGGCTTTCGCCTTCTCTTCTTCGCAGCTCTGCCGGATTTTCTTTTGGCACACGTATGCCAAGGCAATCAGGAGAATAACAAGGCAGATGGCCAATCCCACGGTCACCCAGAGAGCCACAGCCGGAAAGAGGAGGAGCTGACCTGGGAAGAGTGGGAAGAGCGGGACAGAAGGAAGACACGCTCATCCTCAGCACCACGGACAGGGGGAAACGAGGAAGGGGACGAGGGACGTCTCCAGCGGGAAGGGGAAATGCCCACGGTGCATGGCTGGTCAAGAATTAAAGTTAAGGTAGCACAAAACTTTAAAAGACAATGAAAAGACAATGAAACAATAATTTAGAAGACCCATCCAAGAATAAAACAGAGGCACCTGGCTAAGTGTGTCAGGCCCCTGAATGACCAGGGAGGTCTCTGAAGGCCTCCAGAGAAAGGGCTGCCTCAACCTCATGCCAAAAAGATGGCACATTTGGCATGAGGCAGGCCACAGCAGGGAGGTTGTTCCAAAGATGGGGGCCACCACAGAAAAGGCCCTCCTGCTTGTTGCCACCCCCCGAGCCCCTCAAGGGGTTGGCACCCAGAGGAAGGCCCCAAAGGCTGCACATAGGGCCCAGGCAGAGTGGGGTGGGGAGAGGCGCTCCTACAGGTCCCAGTCCAGGTGCCAGCACCTTGAACTGGGACCAGAAGCAATGCAGGCAAGACAGAACCGGTCTTATATGTTTGGAGAGGGTGTGACTGGCCCAGGGTCACCCAGTTGGCTCCATGGCTGAGCAGGGACTAGAACCCAAATCGCCAGAGTCCCAGTCTTGTGCTCTTAACCACTACACCGCACTGGCTTTCAAGGTGGAAACGGCTGGGACAGACAGTACCGCTATTATATGGACAATTGTTTGGGCCTGGCCTAAAGATAGCCTTCTCCTCCCCAAGAGCCCACTAACAGCCCCTAAAGATGGAGCTGTGCCCAAGCACTTCCTGCAAAACCAAAAACCCATGTGCCTTCAAGAGCCAGCAGCCCATCGCACATGGCGAAACCCGGTTTCCATTCAGAGCAGCGGGACAAAGAACGCCGGTGCGCTCACTCAATGCGGAATCAGGGACCTAATGACGCCGGCAGCTGCTTCAATCACAGCATCTTCACAAGGCTCACAGATGCATGAGAAAAGGTGAGGAAAGTGGGCTGAATTACCCTATAAAACACTTCATTAACCTTTAAATAATGATGCTAATAAATTCAAATAGATGCTGATCCGTCACTTTGGTAGGAGGAGTGGAGACGGTGATTTAAACATGACAGATTCCCCAAGGAAAGAAGTTTTCCTTGTGTTGCATGGAGGGCAGGAAAGTCCTCCAATATTTCTGAGGTGAAAATAGGGATACGTTGGCCATGTGATTCAAGGACTACTCCAACAGCTGCCCAGCTGTGCCAAGCAAAGCCCTTTGTTATCTCTTCCTATGCCACCTCCATTATTCTGCCATAGCCTAACCTAGGAAGAGGGGAGAATTTTGATCCATTCATTCTTGTCGATTAAAACTTATCTAAATCTGCAAATTTCTCCATGAACAGGCTTGAACTTGAAGTTTACAAGTTTGTAAACTAGAAACTTGGGAGAAGCAGAATTGATAGATCCATCCGGCTAGCCAGTGGGCTTTGCAAGAGCTCTTAAAAGATTGACTTTGAATCCCTGATTTTGAGCAGAGTGTTGCCAACTCTTTTTTTCCAAAGGCTTCTCAACTTTAAGACCTATATAGCTTTAGGAGCAGGTATAATGTGGTCTACTCCATGCCATTGATTTTGGCCAGTGCAGGCAAGCAAGAATGGCATTTTGCTACGGTTTTGGTAGGAATGCAAATTTCTCCAAACTTGGGACAGGAAGAACTTGAATATTTTTAAAAAGGAGAATGTGGGGTTGCTGAAGGACAGAACTTGAGGACTTTGTCATGCAGAGTAGGTGCTGCCTGAGGATGATGTGAGTTGTAGTACAACACATCTAGAGAGTGCTTGGATGGGCCAGGCTGCCACCGAATTCTCACAGTGTCCCATTTTGGTTAAATGGGCCACCCTCTACTCTATTTCCATGTACCTTGAGGCTTAGTCAGTGAAAAAGTAGGTCATAAAAGAACATAAAATAAAAAACAAATAAAGCAGAATTGCATGCAAAGCAAATTGCATGCAGAATTAGTTATGCAAATTAAATGCACTTTTTTATTTAATGTCAGTGTTCTCAGAAGTATCGTTGCTTTTACAGCATTTGCAGGACAAATGCTATTGGGCTACTGGGTGGGATAAAAATGTAATAAATAAATAAATGAGTGAAAGGGAGGAAGCACGGGGACCGGGATTAAAAGAAGGTGGGCATTTTCAGCCCAGGAGACTGTTCCAACCGAGTGAGCACACTTCAGACGCAGAGTACTTAGAACGAAACAAAGCTACTTTGGTTAAGGCTGATACACAATCCTCTGAATACAATGAAGAACCACAGCTGCAGAATAGAAATAAGTGAAAAGTTTATACTCTCCTTCGCTGTGGCTGCACTGGTTTCCTGACTAGGCCAGCAAGGCAGCAATTCTCCAGGCGGAGAACCCTGGACAACTTCTCGCCAAGAATTTCAGAAAGGTCCCTCTGCCACTTTTGCAGAGACAAGCAGCACATCAAGCTGGGAGAGGGGGAGGGTTGAACTTGCTCCAGTAAGACAAACAGTCTTGTTCCCACAGCAAAAGCGGCTCTTGTCTAAAGATTGGCTGCAGAGGGCAACTCCGAGGCCTTTACGTCTTCCTAACAGGCAGAAAGCCATAAGGCCTTGGCATGGCTCAAAGAAACTATCCTGACTTTTGGCCCCCAGAAATTTCACAACGTGACCTTTTGAGCCCTAATAACATCTGGTAGGACTCATAAAATGCAGTGGGGAAGGGAGGGCTTTATAAGGAATCAAACTTGAGAAGTGCAACAGGGTTTTTTTTCCCAGAATGGAGCAATTTGAGCAAATCCTGTGCAAAGCCTGCACAGTTGGTAAGGAATTTATCCCCATTGCAGAATTTGAGGGCTCAGGTTGCAGAATGAGAGGGAAATTCCAGGAGAAATGGGCACCCTCATCCTCCAACTCTTCTTTGGGGTTACAAACTGCCCTCAGCCCATGCGTTCCAGCAGCGGGCACTGCGCTGCTTTTATCGGCTGTGCCGAAGGAAGGGCCTGCCGCCGGTGCTGCACAGCCAGCCGTCTCCGTCCTCACTCAACCGGCACCGTGCATTTAGCCAAAAAAGGTTTGTGCTCCTTGGGGGGCCCCCTTTCACAAGCCAGCAATTGCTGCGCCAAGGATAATTGAACACTAATTAATGTTACCTGCAAGCGAACAAGGTTACAAAGAGCTCAAGGGGGTCCATAAAAGTCGAAAGGCGTGAAAACAACTGGAAGCCACACCAAAAAAAGCGAGCTGCAGTTCTGTAAAGCGTTTTGCAGGGGCTCCAACTTCGGCAAATGTTCTCCTCCAGCCAGTGGGCACGTCATGCGTCCTCCGTGATTTTGGTGCTCTCACACTGGAGGCATTCAAGAGGCAACTGGGCAGCCCGCTGGGTGGGGTGGGGTGACGTGGTGTCCTGCAACAGCAGGGGGTGGACCCCATGGCCTTCATGGCCCCTTCCGACTCGACTCTTCCGGGATTCTATGATCCTAACTGTACGTTAGTTAATTGTCCGGTCGAGCAGATACAGCCCAAAGTGAAAACTGCCCTGCAGATTCAAACACCGAGCCCAGCCTGTGCCGTGAGCATCCTCAGTGTTCGACATCCCGGCTGTTCACCTGATCCTCTCCCTGCCGGCCCAGGACCTTACCTGTGATGGTGACCGAAGCGTGCGTCTCCTGCTGGAGCAGCGGGTTCCTCACCAAGCAGCTGTAGGTGCTGTTGCGTTCCAGCACCACCCGCAGGACACTCCGCACGTCAAAGAGGCCTTCTTCGTTGGCCACCTGGGAGGTGGTGATATTCTCTGTGATGTTGTTGCCATGGCCATCTCGCCAGACCACCGTTGCCTCGGGGTAGCCCGAAAAGGTGTGGCACGTCACCGTTACCAGGTCCCCTGGCTTCAGATTCTTGTTGGGTTCCAGGTTCAAGTTGGGCTTGGAGTAGAAAGCTGAAGGAGAAGAAGAGCAGGCAAGGCTGAGGCCAAGAGGGTCACACCTGAACCCGCAGAGACAATGGCTGCCTTAGTTCAAAACCCTAAGCCACAGTTCATATTAACCATGGTTTGTTGCTTCCACCATGGCTTGTCTTGCAGAGAAGCTAACAAACCAGAGTTTGCGTTCTCTGTTTTTGGCTTTATTTCTCTCCCACCCATTTTGCCAGCCTTCAGACTCATTTCCTTTCGCAGCTCATTTATTACTTTTATATACCCTTTGTCTCCCAGAAGGGTTTACAGAAAAACTGTTAGCACAAACAAATCAGAGATAATCCACAGTTCAGGGTTCTAACATCCTGATTAGCCATGGTTTCAACAAGCTAGACAACAAACCAGCAACAAACCACGGTCCCTATTTATGGTTTCTAGCTGGTGAACTGTGGCTTATTTGCATGGATGGGTTCAGACAGCACAACATGCTAGGAAAGCCAAAGGTAGGAGAAGAACTGGAAGACAGAACAAGGGATGGGTTGACTCGGTTAAGGAAGCCAGAGCCTGGAACGCACAAGGGCCGACTGGGGCTGCCACGGGAAGGGCATCTGGGGGGCTCCCATTCTTGGGGTCGGGCAGCACTTGACAGCGCAGAACAACAGAGGCACCTGCAGGTGCAAGCCAAGTGACAGCCGGGCCCAGCAGGGGCGGCTCGCAGACGAAGCAAAGCCGGCCCCATTGCTGCCGTCCTAGAGCACCGCCCCACCAATGGGGGGATGGAGGCTCCGCTCGGCCCGCCCTGCTGGACCAGATGAGCCGGCGAAGCCAGTAGACTGGGGAGCGGGGACTGTGCGGCCCGTCGGGAGAGCGCGTCCTCCCTTGCCACAGGCCATCCTGCAGTGGCTGATGGATGCTGCAGTCGGCCGGCCTTCTCCCCGCCCTGCGGAAAGGCCTTCCTCGCAGCTGCTGGCTCAGTGTGCAGCCTGCTCCTCGGCGTCCCTCGTGGCCGTTCCATTGCCTTGGGCGGCGCTGGGTGCCTCGGCCCTTTGCCCCAGCACCTCCCGAGTCCCAGCCGCGTCCACCCTGCCCTTGGTCCCCCGCACGCCCCGGAGCCCCTGGCCGGCCCACTCACTCCCCCCGCTGCCCCCTCACCTGCCACGAGCAGCACGACAGCGGCGCTGCTGTACTCCCGGACCCGGACGAAGCAGGTGAAGCTCCCCTCGTCGGCTATCTGCACGCGCCGCAGCAGCAGGGAGACGTTGCCCCGGAGCAGCTGGTCGTGGAAGAGGGCCGTGCGGTTGGCGTAGTCGCTCCGCTGGTTGGCCAGCTGGTCCCGGCCCCCCGCGAAGCTGTGCACCAGCCGCTTGGTGTCCGTCAGCTGCCAGATGAGGCTGAGGTCGTCCAGGCTGACGTTGGCGTCCGGGGAGAAGGAGCAGGGCAAGGTGGCGTCGTGGCCAAAGAGTGCGACCACGGGGTCCTCGGGGACCGTCAGCTCCAGCGCACCTGGTGGGCAGAGCGGGGAGGAGAAAGGACCTCAGCAGCAGCAGCGGCAGCGGGTCTGGCCCCCTTCAAAGCCCCCAAGGGGATCTCCGCGGGTGGTCAATTCATGGGCCCCTTCCTGGCACCCCAGTCCTTTGGCGGCTCCCCGGTTTTGCAGAATTCCCTCCACTCCGAAAAAGTCGAAGGCTGATTGACTGGCAGCTTTAAGCCCAGACGCGGTGGTCTGCACAGCAGAAGATGGGTTTTGAAGCCCGGGGAGCCATGCCGAATGAGCAGGGCCCGCGGCTGCCGCCTGAATCGGGGAAACAAGCCGAGAACGCATCGGGACATTCCCACGGTCCCCTGTCCTGCCTCCCCCGAATTCGATTTGGACAATGGACGGAGAGCACAGGATGCCACTGCTCTGCTATGGGGGAGGAGCAGGAAGGGTCTTGCCCCCGCCCCATTAATGGTGCCCTCTTAGCTGCAGCTCAGGAAGCCCCGGGGGGGGGGGCATGATTTGCAGAGGATGGATCTGAGAAATAGGCTGCCGCCTTTCAGCAAAGCTCCGCGGCCCGGCAGCGCAGCCCCGCATTGCGCTGTCGGCCCTTCCAGAAGTGAGCGGGGGGAGGCCGTGGGGCGGCCATGCTCGATCCCTCGCAGAAGCCCGGCAGCGGCTCTCCAGCTCGAGTCCAGCACGGGGCCTCGGAGCCGGCTGGGACGCAAGCTCCTCGCAGCCCAATGAGCCGGCCGCCAAGCAGGGCTCTGCTGCCCCCTCCTGGCCTGCAAGCTCTCGGCCTCCCTCCCCGACTGCGAATCCTTTCGCCACACACACGCTTTGGGGCTTGGACAGAGCACCCCAGATCGTCACCCTGCATCCTGCCAAATCGACTCGGCAGCAGCAACGAACAAGGATGCTGGGCCTCGTTGGACGAGCGGCGGCCTTCCGATGTTCTTTGCTTGCAGCTCCCACCCCCCTCCGCTATTGCCCATGCTAGCTGTGGCTGATGGGTGCTGTGGCCAGCCAACTCCGGGAGGGCCCCGGCTCCTGCTTTGGCACTGTCATCCAGCCACAAAGTTATGCCCAACTCTTCGCAACCCCACAAGCAACATTCCTGCCGGCACTGATTTCAAACCCCCGCACACCCCTGCATCGACCAAGCACCAAGGACGCATTCCCTCCTCTGCACCGGATGCAGCTGTGGGGGGGGGGGACCCTGCAAAGGGATTCTGCAGGAGCGTGCGAGCTTTGCGGGGCCACACCAGTCCAGCCCCCTCTTCCCCGTGCTGCCAGCACGAGCGGCAGGGTGACCAGCCGGTGGCCCTCGTCTCCCCCCCAAGCCACGGGCAGTCAGTAGCGCACAGCCTCTGAACCTGGAGGTGTGAGTGGAGCTTCAGGCCCACAGGTCTTTCCCAGCCCAAACATCTGGAAGGCCCCAGGGCAGAAATGTTGGCTGCAGCTGCTGGCTTACAAGAAGCAGCCTCCATTCTCCTGGGGACCCGGGTTGGAGGAAGATGCATGCAGTCTGAACAGCCACCCTTCTAGTGCTGCGAGTCTTCGCAGGAACTTAAGCACCCCCAGAATCCGGGCTCCAGTTTATCGACTCTATTGTCATGTGCAGGGAAAGTTCCAGCCGTCCCCAGTTCGTGCACTAGGTGTCAGCCTTGGCTTGGTTTTGGGGTTTTAGTTCTCCAGGCACATATTCATTCCAGCTGCATTTAGCCAAAGGAAAAACTGGGGAGGTGAGGAAGGGAAATGTTCTTGCCCCGTGATCTGACGCCAGTCCCACTGTTGATAAGAAAACTGGAGAGTTCGCACGATTTGGAGAGTTAGCGTGGTCCGGGGTTAGCGTGTTGCGGTGCGGACTTGGCAGCCTCACCGGGGGGCTTTGGGCAAGTCACTGACTCTCCGCCTAGCCCACCTCACAGGGTGGTTGTTGTACGGAGGAAAAGAAGAGCCTTGTGCGGCTGCTGCAGTACGGTCTAGCCATCAGAATATCCGCCTGGGGCCCGGAACGGCCGGGCACTCTCAGTCCGCCACTCTGCAGGGCTGTTAGGTGGGTAAAATGGGGCAGAGGCCCGTGTGCCACCACCTGAGAGGGGGAAAGGGCGGATAGGAGCCCTGCGGTTGCTTCAGAGGCAGCAGGAAGGATCCAGAGCGCCGTCAGCAAAGCAAAGCGCAGCAGAGGGGGCCGAACGGCTGGGCACGTGAGCGTGATGCGGACTGGCAAAGGCTGCAGCTCAGAGGGTCCCCGGTTCAATCCCCGGGACCCCCAAGCTGGCCTGGAAGAGACCGCCGCATGCAACGGTCGCTCCCCAGGTTCCCACAAAGGGGCTTTGGCGGCCCGCCTGGGAATCTCTGAGCGGGAGATGCTGCGGGTCACAGCATGGGAGACTCCGGGGGATGAGAAACGATCAGCCATGCCTTCCCTTTTCTCCCAGGCTGCGGAAATCCGACGAATCCACCGCAATGGCTAAGATGCTTGACGCTGATCCTGGCGAAGCCCCTGCCAAAGGAAGCCCTAAATACGGCGCAAGCAGCCACAGCACTCACCGGCCAGAGCGGACAGCAGGAGGCCCACGATCAGCGCATCGCGGCACATGTTCCCGGCGGAGAAACGGCTCGGAGAGGCAGCGGAGGCGTGCCGGTTACCAGGGTGCAAATCTGCAGAGGCGGCCATCTTTGCTCATCCTAAGAGGACAACAGAGCACAAGGCGTGAGTGCAGCCCTGCCGGACAGGCCCAGATCCTTCTCCTCTAGCATCCCGTTCACACAACAGCCAAGCACCATGGGGAGCCCACATGCAGACCTTGAACGCACTGCACCCCCTGACCCATGTTCCCCAGCAACTGGTGGACACAGTCATACCGCCTCTGATACTTCTGGCAGCATAGAGTCATGAGGACTAGTAGCCTTGCATAGCCCTCTGAATCCACTATGGATTTCTCTGGCCTCCTTATTCAAATACACGTTGCATTTCAAGCTCAGGGGAGATGTCAGTTCCAGACAGATGTACAGAAGCAGAAAGAACCCGCTAGCTCTTGGGAGGTTTCCTCCCAAGCCACAATATCCTGCTTCCTTGAAGAGCAAATCAGTTGCAGTGGATTTCCTGAGCTGAGATTCCCTTTCCACCCACCTCTGTCTTGGGGCCACTGAACTGTTTGAACCCACCAGCTCAGAAGGACCAGAGCTACCCGCAAAGAACATTCCCGTTTACAGTTGGGAATACATCACATTCATCCAGTACTGCCAAAGAAAGTCTGGGCAGATCTTTGGGCCGTTATTAGCCAATGAGAAAGACAACTGCATTGTAAAAAGGCGTGGGTGGACAGTCCGAGTTAACTGTTTCGAAACCATGAAGTCATTGACTACCAAAGCACTGGGAAATCAATTACTATTTATAGCTTTAAAATATTTGTCAGATATAAGGGGGAACTCCTGAAAGACTGTGCTTTTTCCTGCTGGAATGTCAAGGGAAAGAGCAATGCCTTACAATTCTGTTTATGGGTGAAGTTTCAGTGAATAAACTATGCACCAGAAAGCATAAAGGAAAAGAATCGTTTTCTAAACATGGTGGTTGTTAAACATGATGGGAACGGAACTGCCTTGAGGAACTGTGTCGATCTAACTGGAACCCTGAAAAGTTATAGGGAGCGGTGAATTCTTCACTGTCAACCAGAATCATGGATGGCAGCAAAGAAGCAGGGGAGAGACCCCATCCCAGCAAATGCTGGTAAAACCCAACTTCATCCACATCCACACAGACCAAAGATGGGAAATCTCTAACCATCCAGATGTTGCTCCTGGACCAGCCAGCAGGGCAGGTGTTCCGAAGTTCTGGTCCAAGAATACCTGATGGCCCAGAAGTCTGAGGCTGGTGGTGGTGCGGACCTTGGTATCCACCTCTTCCTCCCCTCCTTACCCTTCCATTACATGCCCGGCTTCTTTTCCCATTTTGTGAGCAGACAAAGCCAGAATTCCCACAGTTTGGACCAAAGAGGGAATCCCGCCCTTAAGCAAGCCCCAAACTTTGCCCGGGAGCTGATGCACGACGGAGAGGCGAGAGATGAGCGCTCGGCACAGATGGTTCGTAGCTGCTTCATGGATTATGATCTGAGAAGCCTCAGAGGACTATGCTGACAAGACCACCATCTGTGAATCCAGGCAGGGGGGATGCTGGGGCTCCCTCCAGCAAATAGGCCCGCTTTGAACCCATGGTGCGGGTGGCAGATTTCACACCCTGGGTTTCATGGTCTTCAGTGGGAAGGAGGCAAAAACCAGCCGAAGAAGAATTGAGTAGAAAAGTTCGTTCCATTGCAGCGGCTCAGAAAAGTGCCTTGGCTGACGGAGCACAAACAGATTCAAAATGAAGCCCTGCGCTGTACGCCTGCTCGTGGCCACATGCCACGGCTTGCGCTCAGATATGCGGCTGCGTCCCACCCCTCCAGAGGAGTATCGGTAACCATCTTCTCCCGCCCGTGGCTCTTTCGTCATCCCCACTGCAGCTTTGGGGAGGCTGCACTGTCTGTCTCAGAAAAGCTGCCGAATACCTGTCAGGCCCAGGCCGGTCCACGCAGGCAGGCAGCGGGCTGGATTGCTTCTGCTACAAGGCACGGAGGGAAGGGCAGCGGGCCCAGGCCGGAAGGGCTCCGAGACCCCCCAGCGCATTGGCACGTCTCCCTTCCAACGGGGTGGGCGAGATGTGTCCGCGCTGGACAATGTGGAGCGGTGCTTGGACGCTTTGGTATAGCGCTCTTGGGGTCATTCCAAGGGTCAAATCAGGCCCTTTCATAGAAGCATAGAAAGAGAGCCACTCAGAAGGGGCCTCCCCGGCCATCTAGTCTGACCCCTGGCTCTAGCCGGCTCCGCTCATGACATGCCCACCATGTGCATGTCCAGCCTACCCTTAAATACCCTCCCCGATGGGGCTTCAACCATCCTAACCAACCATCTTCTCTGACTTGCCTTTTTCCTGGGCCAAACATCCCAGCGGCCGCCACATCTCCTCACGGGGGGCTGCCCCAGCCACCCCCCCTGCTTGTCCTAGCTGCCCTCTCTGCCCCCAGTCGGCTGCCCTTCCTCCAGCAGGCAAAGACCACTTTACAGGGTGGTGTTGGGTTGGGAGCTGGTTTTGAGCTGTCTGGACGGTGTTTCCCATTGCGCCTTAGTGCATCGACTTGAAGACGATTTTGATCAGCGTTCCTTATGCGCATGAGCCACCTCGGGAGCAGGGTGCACCTCGGATCAACCAATAACCACAGGAAGGGACCTTGGAGCAAGTGCCCAGGGCTCCGCTCCACAAAAGAAACAAGAGGATCCCCAAATCTCATCAAGGATCTTCCCAAGCAAATGTCCCCCTTTTGAGGCTGCAGTTACCCAGCTATTACCTCTGGGCAAGAGAGGCGCAAGAAGGGGGATTTTTCCCGTAACCTTGGCTGAACGGAAGGACTTTCCGCCTCCAACCTCTCTGTTTGGTGCCTTCATTTCTCACCTTTTGCTACGTAGTTAAAGTGCTTTTATTCCAAGGGTTTCTTGACCCGCCAGGATGAGTTATCTTAATGGTGTGTCTGTTTCCTTGCTTTTATCTGCTGCATTTGTCTCTAAACTGCTACTGCTTTTATTATCTTGTTGAAAGTGTTCAGGTTTACCCTGGGAGTTTTAAATGGTTTAGAGCCTTTCCGAGCACTGTAGCTGCAGCGGAAGGTTGGCGTATAAATTCTGACCGATGAGAAAAGAAGCAAGCAGGCCAGAGTCCGGGAAAAGAAGCATCCCAGTAAAACCAGCGCCATTCAATGGGATCGACCAACAAGGCAGACAACAACATATTTCTGCACACAGCGAGAGACGTGCGCTGACGAAATGCACCAGCGGAAGGGGGTTATGCAGAAGTTCAAAAGGGGATCGACGAATGTGTGGGTTTGGGGCTGGCCTGAGACATTGTGCTGCTTGAGAGAAGGAACAATGTGGCGCTTCTTCCATTCCAGCAGCTGGACTCTTCCTCAGGCTGGGAGCGTTTCTCCTACAACTGCAAGAGGGAGGCTGACTTAGGGGGCACAGGATGCGCCTCTTGGTACACGAGGACTTTGCTGCCCCTTTCCAGGATCTCCCCCTGAGGTGACAGTTTCATTCTGCTCTGAACAGGAGGGCCGGCCCCACACAGAGGAGGGGTCCCACTGCGAGCTGTTTATGAGAGCCACAGGGCAATATGAGAGACAGTGTGGCGTAGTGGTTAAAAGCCTGGGACTGGGACTCGGGCGACCCGGGTTCGAGTCCCCGCTCGGCCATGGAGCCCACTGGGTGACCCTGGGCCAGTCACAGACGCTCAGCCCAGCCTACCTCGCAGGGTTGTTGTTGCTCAACACGCCTGCTTCTCGACCCCGGTTCACGGAGCTGTTCACACCAAGAGGGGATGCCAAGCAAGCTATGGAATGCTTCCTCAGACAGCCAGATCCACAGCATCTCTTTCCTCCCGGTAAAGCTCCAGAGCATTCCTTTATCTGAGAACGCACCATGCGCCCAGCGGTCCAGCACCGCTTTTCAAGTGTTACAAAAGAGACACAATCCGCCTGTGCTGGAGACACACCAACGCCGCTGCGCTCCGGCAAGTCGGTTTCATTTCTTTGCTTTAGCCCTGGGCCAAAACGAACGACTAGAAATTGGAAGCATAATATACACAGCACCAGAAACCATGAAAACAATAAAAATATAATTTCCAATATAGACAATCTCGAGGATATCCTCAGGGTAGATCTAGAAGACAAACCAAGGACCTGCCTCTCGTTAAAGGTATGTCGTTTGTGCCAGGGCTGGGGAAGCACCTGTCTGTGGAACATGCTTGTTGTCACTGCACAGAAATGAATGCACATAGCTTGAAACGCCTGAGGCTGCCTAGCCTTGGAAACTAAGCAGGGTTGGGCCTGGCTGAAACCTGGAGGGGTGACTTGAGTCTGCACTGAGCAGATATTTGGACCCCGTGACCTGCCAGGCCTTTCCCAACGGCATGATTCTATGAATCATTAATTTATTTGCTAATGCAAGCCAATGACTGCAACCTTGTACCAGCAAAAACAGAAGAAGGCGGGGGTGATGTGAGGAGGGAAGACTTTGCAAATATTTAATTTACCTGGGCTCTCCCACACTGGAGGCATTCAGGATACAACCGGACAGCCGTCTGAGGGGGATGGGGTGACCTGGTGTCCTGCACTGAGCCGGGGGCTGCTCCTGATGGCCCTCTGGCCCCTGCCAACTCTGCCATCCTATGATTCTATGAATTAAAAACAGCCAATGCACCAGATCGTTCTCTTTGGCTGACCCATAAGGACCTGGGTCATGGTTCGCTCTAGCCTCCTCTCGCGAGAATGATGCCAGAATGCATCTCTTGGGAGCAAGCAGTTCACTTTCATGCTGAGGTCCTTTAGCAGAAGCAAGGTCCAGTTTTCCGGCAAGATGAAAGAAAACATCAAAATGAGGGATCCACGTGAATCTTACTACGACACTGCCTTGCCCCCAATGCTAATCTCCCATGGCCAAGATGTTTACTTTGAAGCAAGTCCTGTTCATCAGGGTCCCATGAAACATTAATTAGAAGCTTTCTCCATGTGGTTATTCTGCCTCTTCATTGTTCTTCTTCAGAGCGGTTACATTATTACCTATGAATACTGAATGGGAAATAGTTGTGGTTCCCTTTGAAA